CCCTCCCTCTTTCTTTCTTTCTTTCTTTCTTTCTTTCTTTCTTTCTTTCTTTCTTTCTTTCTTTCTTTCTTTCTTTCCTGGAAGAGCAATAGAATACGAGACAAGAGGTACCTTCCAGACAACTTGAAAGTTGCTGCAGGTTTATAGGACTGAAAAATTTAATAACTGTACTACTACCACCACTGAAAGGGGTAGAAGATTGATTGCTTTCTTCTGGGGAAAGTGGAGACATGTAGAACTGCTAAAAAGTAATTAATTTCAGACTCAGTCTGAAGAACTGTAGGACCAGAGGCTGGTATACAGATGACCTCTTTCAAGGACTTATGTTTACTGAGTAGTGTTGAATTTTAGAATGCAGTTATAGCAAATACTTTTATTATTTTTTCCACTTAGGTTTAGTAGATTTTTGTTCATAGCTATTAATATTTAATTTAATTATAGATGGTAAGCTTTTACTGGTAGAACAGTTTACCTCGCTGCTTATCTTTATTTGTTACATTGTCAGTAAAACACAACAATATTAAAGATTGAACCAAAAAAGAGCATGGAGTGCTCTTGGAATGCTCCATAGTCTTGCACTACAACTTTTAGAATCCTTCTTGTTATAGGACCTCTAGTTTTCCACTCTGAAAACTTGTAAGGCATCTGTAATGCCTGTTACCGGAACAGATGTTGCTCTTGGTTACACTGCTGTGAATTCAGAAAGGGTTTGGTTCTCCTATACCACAGACAGCCTCTACCACATTTGCAGCTGCTGATGAGGCACATGTGCATAGAGAAAGCAATGCTCACAGTGAAATTCACAGCAGTTTTGCTTCCTACACAACTTGCTTCCCTTCAAAATCTCACCAGTGCCGTTTTCTTTTCACTCAGCAAGCTTAGCTGCAGCAAATTATTCAGGGGGACCATACTGCCCCCCAATTGCTGGAAGTTGACCACCTCTGCCATAGGGCAAACTTTGCCAATTTAGGATTCTCCAGATGTGCTGGATTGCAACTCCAATCATTCCTAGCTGCCATGGCCAGGGAAGGGCACTAGTTTGGATAATGGGCACTTGAAGGATAATTCCATTGAAAAGGAGCCCTCAACAAGATTACTGTCTGAATTCTATTGAAAGGGTCCTTCCAGAATCTGTGAAGTTTCAGCATGATCCTGGCAGACATCAGGCACATCTTAGTTCCATTTCTGTCAAGGGAAGACATCTCCATTGTGCCATCCTGAGCATGTTTCCTCAAAAGTAAGTCCTGTTAAGTTCGGTGGGACTTTCTCCCAGATAAAAGTTCATAGAATCTCAGCCTTAAGTACTTGGTTGACATCCAGACTGCAAGTTGGCTGGTTCGTGGACTTCTTTCAAATCATGTAACTCTCGAAGCATGTGTTCAGTATATCTGTACCCTTATGAATGTTTGCATAATCCAGAATTCAGTGCATCTGATCTGTGCATTGCACTCCAGTGGAGTATGTGACCTCCACAATTAGCAGAGGTACAATTCCTGCCGCTGTCTCTCCAAACAGTGGAAATCATTCATGGGAACTCCTGCATGCTGCCCTGTGCATTAACACTCTATTATAAACTTCCTTTCAACCAGGAAAGTTTTGTGGTAAGTCTGACAGCTGCTCCTTGGGAGTGCCCAACTCTTGCTTCCAGTCTCTGTACTTGTTCTCTGGTTTAGCATTAAATGGCTATTTCTGAAACAATGTTCATACAAAGTATTTTCCACCCATTACCTTGGTCTTTGAAAGTTGGAATCTTCTTCAAGTACCCATTTCAGGGCAGATTAAAGGACTAGCCAAGGACACTTCTGAGCCGGTTATGACCCTGTTAGAGAAACAGTATAAATCCCCTAGAGAACAACTCCAGCTGGATCCTTACCTGTAAGGTATCTTTCCTCAGAATTATCTGTGCTAGCTTTCCAACCTACCCACTTGGACTGAAGAATACCATTTTATGTACAAAAATAAGAGAAAGTTCTTTGTGGTCTCTGACCCACACATGTGGGTTTATGTGCTTGCACAGCATAGCCCTTCCCTCTCTTCTGTACACATGCCAAGCATTGCTCCTGCCAGCATCCCAGTTCCTTCCTTTCTGCAGTAGCAAAAGCAGCACTTTGGAACATTCTGTGCCTCACAACAAAGAAAGCTACTCTGAGACACTAAACAGAATTTTCATCTTCTCTCCTTTCCCCTGAGCTTTTTCATGCTTTCCTTTATGAACACGTATTTCTTCAAAAAGTGGTCCTGCTCCAGCAGGAAAATCCCACTGCTAGGTGGACATTTGGAGTGCCTTTAGTGTCCTTGAGAGACCCATAGAGAAGACTCTTGTTCCTTTTGCAAGGCCTTCACTAAGCAGGCTGGGAGGAACAGATTGATGTGCCCCTACCTCTTCTTTGGGAAAAAGCCTTAAAAGTGGTGGACTCATTCATGTAAAGCTACCCTTTATAGGCTGCGTCATCTTCCTTCTACACAAGACCACTTCCCTCCCACACCTGGTTTCATTGGAAGATGTGCTTATTCAACCTGCCCTTTTGGGAACTCCCACATGTCCAGCACAACACCTTTAGCGGTCTCCTTGGACCAACTGCTCACAGACATCTTCAGTGCCTCTTGTCAAGACAGAATCCCATTCAAGGTGCCCGGCGATTGTCAAAGCCTTGGGATTGAAAACAATAAAGAAAAGACTGTCTTGCCAGATCAGTTCCAAAACCAAACCAGGACCGGTGCTAGCTGTGACTCAACTAATTAAGACCTCCATCCTTGTAGATACTTACATATCCCATCTGGTGTTAGAGAAATTTGGATCCCAAAGGAACACTATTTTCAATGATCTCTAATGCCTGGAATTTGTCTCTGGTAATGAACCTCCGTGTCAACTCTTTCTGGGACCATTCCGCTCTCTACCAACAAGCTTCTCCAATAACAGAAGAACTTCAGGAGCTTTCATAAGACACCAATCTGAGCTCCTGAGAGACAATTATACACTATTCACACTGTCACTATTACAGGTTCCCTCATACTATTACGGACCATTTATTTATTACTTATTTATGTAGGAAGCTTCTATGCTGCCCCATTCGCCGAAGCCTCGGGGCGGCTCACAATAATAAATAAACACAATATAAAAACAATATAATTTGAGTCGACCATTCTTTCTGTACAACCCATCCTGGTGAATCTGACTCTCTTGTTTCTCCACCATCAACTGCTTTCTGACAACTTCTTTCCTGGTGTCTGTAAAAACGTCCAGATTCAGCCCCTCTTATGCAGTCTGTACCTGCAATTCAACTAGTATAGCCTTCTCATCCTCTTCTTCCATTACTTCTCTGTCAGCATCCTCCCCTGATGCTACAGTTGGAGATCAAAACTCATTAACTCCCTCAGACAGCATTAGACTTTGGGGAGGAAAAAAATAATGATGGCCAAATCCTTCAGACTAGAGATTAAACTCCTGCTAGCCCCCCAATCCCCAACAGGGTTCAGGTCAACATGGCACCACCCACCTCTTTTCCAGTGCTACTGACCCTAGTCCACGTGATTAAACAATCATGAACAGAAGCATCCACAGTATTTCCAACTTCCCAGCAAATCAAGAATTTTTATAGGGTCCAAAGAAGACAACGACAACTGCACTTTTCTGTTCGAACACCCACTGTAGAAACTTAGCACTCAAAGCACAAGTCTTCTACTTCCTCCTTAGTCACATTGGGTAGGAAGATTGATGCTATCAGTCAGAAAACATATTCCACAGAAGCCCTTTCCTGGTAGATTGCCAATTACCAAACATGCATGGATGGATGCATGCATATCAACAGTTCCAATGGAACAACTTCACTCCTTTCTTTGATCAACTGCCTGAAAACACCTAAAACCTCACCACAGCTTTTCAAACAGAGGCACGTAGGCTGGCCAGTCAGCAAATCAATACAATGCAATAAATGACTGATGGTGGATCTAAATCAATGGCAGCAGCCATCTCTCTTCAGAGAGATGCATGACTCCACACCTCAGGACTGAATGAAGAGATTAAAAGAGAGTGGAAGGCCTCTAGTGGCAAGGGATTATTCAGTGCTTCCACAGATGACACAGTCATGTTCAAACAAAGCTTCAGTGCACAGGGTGGG